TATGGAAATTCACCATCTTTAATAGGTAAATCAACTATAAATGGGCCATGTTCAATAGCTATGTTCAATCACCAGAGGGTATATTAGGAAAATCAATGAGCTTATTCAAAATGTTGATATTTCATATGATCAGTCTATCCCCGCATTTTTGGAAAATTGTAGGAAATCATAAGGAAGTATAACTTGGATGTGTGGATACATGCTTTTTCCTATTGCTTATTAATAGTTAATCCTAGTCACATGTGATTTGGGGGTGCAGTTCCACTAAGAGTCGTGGCTTATCCAACAAATAGGTACTATAGGTACGTTCGGTGGTGCCCCCAAACGTGATGTGTGGTGGTTCAAAAAAAATGAAAACTATAGATATATCATGATATATCCGCTACAAACCCTAGTTCTTAGAGTGAACTATACCCCATGAAAACTATAGTTATATCTACTAATTAACTACTCATAAGGCAACTGACCGCTATCGAACGGGGCACCACATTGTACAACCATGGTATACCATGGTTCTAGGCTCTAGGAGCCCCACATCTCAACTTCCGGAGGCAATTTGCACTGTAAGTAGACTAGGTCCTAGTCCCAAGGTGCATCACAAAGCCCAAAATTACACCGCAATTAAGCCTTTTTTTTGCACACATGTGCTACATAGTGTTGCAGAGCATAATTATGACAATTTACGGTTGTCTTGTTCTTGATATTATCTCTCAGCATGTAGTGTGCCATGATATCTAGAATTATATTAATATAGTGTGCCATGATATCTAGAATTATATCAATATATTGACATTGATGTAAATTACATTGATATAAATTAAATATTGAGTATGATTATTTGTTTATCTATCTATCTATCTATCGATCTATCTATCGATCTATCTATATAAATGTGATATGCGTATGCATACAGCACTGTAGGCTGGGATAATGTGGAAACCCGATGATTTTTTTGGACAAATGATCTACACATAGTAGGTTGAATAGTGGGTGCTCCACATCTAAGTAAATGATTGCAGGAGGGTGATGGGGTTTGTAAACCAACTTGAGCCATTAAACATACCCTGGCTGATTGGTTAATTTGTTGGGGCTTATGCTACCTAATTAATTATTTGGTGTTATGATAACCAATAGTAGGGAAACCTTTTTCAACCAACTGACCAACTGACCAACTGACATAATTACATATCATGAAGTGAATACAATAAATTGAACATGGAACATATACATTATAACATATGATTATGATTTCTGAATTTCTATTTTTTAATATTGAATATACTATATTTATTCAATCCTTTGATGTATCATCATTTCCCCATTACCATGGCCATATGATATGTACATACAGTACTCAGTACGGTCTTATATATTACTTAGTAGCTTAGAATCCCAGTGGATTAAGCTTCCTTATCCCCAGAGGGGTAGTTCAGTAACCTACTTATCGTACTGGTGCTAAACGTATGGGATTTTCGGGAATGATCCACTGACTAACTGCAAAATAATCATCCCAGCAACCCATCCAGCAACCCTACGTTTAGCACCAGTAAGTAGTGGACGAACCACTAACAACAATGGGTTAACCAAAATCTATCGGTGATTACAGAGATTTCTCCCCACTGGGTTTAGCTTATCCCTACCCTTCTAACCACTTATATAGTGGATTAACCCTACTTATCCCACTAACAACACTGTGAACTAACCTCTGGGGTGAACTAACCTAGGATTTGCGGCTACTTCGCCACCAAAAAAACGCTTTCTTAGATGGGCCATGGAGTTACTTAATTAGTTAGTAAATGGATTATTTCATTGGGATACAGGGGGCTAAAAATCCCCAGTTACTAACCAGTTACTCACTATTTCTATGGCCATTTTCAATAGCTTTAACTGTATGTTTAACAGTTAGTTAATCCCATGGCCCATCTAAGTACAAGGTGGTGCCCCCCCAGTTATGTTTGTTGGTTTATAAACCATAGTAACTATATATAGATATAAGATGATATAAGCTCCCAAAAAAGCTTAGTTATTGGACTTATAATCGCTGATCCCGGCTGATCCCATGGCCCATCCCGGCGTTCTTTCGCAGGACCCTGGTGGGTTTTGTCCGCAACGTGATCATCAGCGCCCGCACCTACGATGATCAACCCATTACTGTGGCCCAAAGCATCCGGAAGCCACTCGGCGTAAACGCGGCTGACCATGGACAACGGTGGGAAAGAGTAGATTCACCACCACAAATTGCACTTTGGGTGGGTTTAAGCAGCCAAAATGGTGATTTTCACCAGCAAAAATGGTGATTTGGTGGGATTTCACCAACAAAACATGTGATAGTTTCATATCTTTTGCCGGCAGAGAACGTTCCCACTCTCAGTCAATAGGATCAACATCCTCCTTGGGACTTCTCCCACGACGGTGGTGAACCATGGTTGCATCTCACTGCTGGCAATGAACATCCAGGGTTCACAAACAGATTCCATGGGTTTTGACTCATACCCATTTGGGGAATCATGATTACCCAGATTGGGAAAGATGTATATAAAGAGGAAAATGGAGGAAACCATGCACTGTTTTCTATGAAATATGCAGATGTGTTTTTGTGTGTTCACTATGATTGGGTTTGTTCCAACATAGGGTACTAAATCCACTGGTCAGTCGTTTTTGTCCCCAAAGAAAATGACCATTCCTGTCTACCCAATAGGCAGCGACAAACCCAAATGCCAGTTGCGGGAATGAACATCTAGTAGAAACCACAGGTTTGCTCCACATGAAATATACTTGGAACGCAAAACAACCAGAAAAAACAAATGGTGGCTCTCCCAAACAACCATTTGTTGCTCAGGGATTAGTTGTTTAGGTATAGATAATTCTTTGATGAATTAAATCAGTTTCAAGAATAGTTTTCTTGGTTCACCATTGAAAACCATAAATATTAATCATATGGCTGGCTATATGCCCATACTAAGTGGGGTCCCCGAGTTGTAAGTTGCATGCTTGTTAATCCCCTTTAACTATAGTTGCAAGTGCCATAAGCCCATTCGTTCTTCGCTGTATAAACCAGCTTGGCTTAGCTAGTTTGGGGGCCTCACCTTGTATTATTTTACTCAAAGCCAAGTAAAATCTCATGAATTTGGATTCCAATCCCATTCAAGATTCAAGTCCTGTTTTTTACCCATGAAAATCTCAACACCATCAAAACAGATCAAAACCAAGATTAGTTTCGATTGATTTAAGGGAAAGCTTACAGGAAAACCCCATATTTAATGGGAACATCTATTCTGTAGATTTCCCCTTAAACCAATCCATTGAAGATGAGCTTCAAACGTTCGGCTAGCCGCATGTTAGGGATCCACACTTCATCATCAAGTACCTTCCGCGTGGAGAAGGTAATGAGGACGGGACGGGCCCTGGATCCAGCGGCGGACGGTGGATTCATATGGGGGGGTTCCATGGTCATGAGGGTATCCCAACAGCTGGATGGTGACTATTTCATGGAAAATCCATGAAAATCCCAATCTAATAGCTGGATGATTTAGGGGTACCCCCCATTTCAGGAAACCTCAATATGAAATCGAGATTAAATTGGAAAAAAACAATACCAATGAAGCAAAATTGGGGGGGCTATAATCATCACATAAATTTGAGCATATCCGTCCAAGAACAACACATCACAAATCAGAGATTTCGTGGATATTCCACTAGGTGCATGGGCTAATCTTTGACATACGTGGGAAAGTAGACCGAGTTGTTGTTCCAAGTTATGACCCTGAATCACTGGGATGTATTGGGATAGACTGCACTTTGTAGCTACAAACTTTAGCCCAAACAAAATACAGATGATGAACTAAGATATCAAATGCATGAACTTGCATGAACAATCGAAACAGAAAAACAACAGACAAACTAGTAATTCAACAAAGTTGGTCCTTCTCTGGATTTTGTTGGTGATGTTGTTCGGAGAGCGAGGATTCAAGCAGTGCGACCGTGTTCAAAACAGTGAAGCCTGGTGAAGCGCTTGCAGTATAAGACTCCCATTTAGGGATCAGGTTACCGATGAACATCGAGCCAACCCCGCTATTTTTAGTGCGAACACCAGGGGATTGGGTTTTGGCCCACAGCGATATGACAACATATGACGCCTCTTTTGACATTATCCAACATCATATATGAGCCATTAGTATACCCATTAAACGTCCATTTTTGTTTGGTTAAATCCCTTTAAATTATTAAAGGCCATAGCAACTAGAGCCATAAAATATGACCCAGCAGATCGTCCTGATTCCAGCAGAGCTTTGGCAATCCAGTTGAACACAGACTGCAGATGTAGAATACAGAATTCGCAATTGAAACGTCGAAATGAGAACACAGATATGTGTGAACATCATTGAGGGTTTAGACTATCCATTTTTGTTGCTTCTCATCAGGCAAGCACCACTGTTTTTACCATTGTATGCTACGACCTGTATTACGAGATTACTAGTGATTGATGATTGTTTGAATGATCTACCATTATTAAAATTCTTGTTATTGGTAATCAATATTGGGTTTCTACCTATGATGTTGATGTGTAGGATAATTAAAGCAATGATCGTTCTCATGACTATATCATTATTACTTAATTCATTATCCATCATGATTTACTATCCACCATTATCTCTTTTAACCTACCATATCAAACCTATATATGCATAATAGCAATCATCAAATCATTATTATTACCATTATATTATTTATCATTCTTAACCATCATTCACCCGTATTAATCACTGTTGACCATTATTAACCATTATTAAGCATCATTCACCATTATGAACAGTTTTTTCGCCACTATTCATCACAATTTACCATTATTAATCAATCTAACCAGCAAAGAATTTATTTGTTTTGCAGGGTATCTAAGATTGGCAATGGGATTAGGATTCTATTAATCACTGGGATTAGGATTCTATTAATCACTATTATTAATCCATTAGGAAAATCATCATTGACCAAATTAAACCCGCATTTTCCTGGCGCGCCATGCGCGTTTTCACTGTCTCCGGCCACGTTCTCGTGGACTTGGCAGAGAGAGAGGACTTCAGGGGACGCCCCACGCGGGCCTTGAAGGAGTGGCCTGGCGTGGAAAACGTGGAGAAAACCTGGGGAAAACTTGCGGAAAACTTGGGCAACAAGTGGAAAACCTAGGTAAAACATTGGCAGAAAAAGGGAAAAATGTGGAAGTCTTTTGAACAATTTGAGGAAAACCGTGGAAAAAGAGGAAAACATGTTAAACAAAATGTAAGGAGACCTGGGGAAACAGTTGGTGATGTAAGCAGTAAATTGTTAGTACACAACAATAACATATTGAATTTATCCAGGGGGAACAATTTGGTGATCAGGTTATGATTTAAGTGGCAAACATTGGGAGTTACAGGAAGTTTTTCGCAAACATACGTGGTAAACTGAGTAGCATCGGATGGAAAACTGGTAAGAGATGGGGATGGAACCAGACAAGAAAGGGCTGAATCAACGAAAGTGTGATTTACTGCTCCTTACAGCTCCAAACACCGAGACTGAGACTGTCTTTGGAGTGGTTTTTTGGGGTCTAAACACCTTCTCAGAGGGTATTTGGAGCAGGGGCTAGGTTGCTGGTTTGGAACATGGCTTTTATTTTTCCATTCAGTTGGGGATGTCATCATCCCAACTGACTTTTATATGTTTCAGAGGGGTAGGGCTCAACCACCAACCAGACTGTATCCAGAAAATTTGGAGAACACTGAGAACACTTGGGATTTAGGTAGCAAATCTACACATTTAGACGGCCAATTATTGCCGGGCCAAAGCGGGGTTTGCTTTGAATGACCTAGTGACTCACCTCCGCGATTGAGACATCAATGGGATTAATTAAGCAGCTTTGGGGAAACGGTGTTTGATTCTCTTTGAAAAAACAAATATCCAGTCAGCCAGTCGGCATTGCTATGGTTTCTTAACGAGGACTGCTTTTTGTGTCACGTTTCCTAAGGACTCATCTAGTACGGCCTTAGAACTTACAGGGTATCTACATCCTGATTTGAGAATATTGCCATCGTCGAATCCATGTAGTGTCAAATCCACGCAGCATTTGAACACGGGTGGCACATGAGTTTTGAGATTGGGCAATCATTGCGGTTTTCTGGCTCCTTTGTTCAACCCATCACGTAGTGCGTTTCTTTCTTTTTCCCCACCTGCCAGGTGAGGGTTGTTGGATTTTATCAGAGCTGTTCTTCCGCCTCCTCCTCTTCCTCCTCCTCCAGTTTCTCCTCGACCATGTCTGCATCAACTTCCACGTCCACTTCCGCCTTGCCAACTCTTCGCCGATCTCTTCGCCAACTTCTGCGCGCAGTGGGCACTGCTGGACCTCAACTGCCGGCTTCGATCTGAGTGGGCACGGCTGGACCTCAACCGCAAGGTTCTGAGCGGACCTCAACCTGGGACCTTCCGAGCGCAGTGGCACCGCTGGACCTTAACCTGGGACCTTCCGAGCTCAGTGGGCACCGCTGGACCTCAACCTGGGACCTTCCGAGCTCAGTGGGCACCGCTGGACCTCAACCTGGGACCTTCCGAGCTCAGTGGGCACCGGTGGACCTCAACGACCAGATAGAATGCCACAAGATATGCCAGATAGAACGCCAGATAGAATGTCAGATAGAATAACCGAAGATATGCCAGATAAAATGCCAGAAGATATGCCAGATAGAATGCCAGAAGATATGCCAAAAGATATGCCAGATAGAATGCCAGAAGGTATGCCAGATAGAATACCAGAAGATATGCTAGACAAAATGCCAGAATATATGCCAGATAGAATGCCAGAAGGTATGCCAGATAGAATGTCAGATAGAATGCCAGAAGGTATGCCAGATAAAGTGCCAGAATGTTTGCCAGATAGAATGCCAGAAGATTTGCCAGTAACAAAACGTATAAATGTCATGGTGGGGATGACTCGAAGTAAAGTAATTAATCTGGGTTGCAAACAACATACAAGGTGGTGCCCCCTAGTTGCAAGGTGGTTATCACTAACTAATTACAGTTAGTTATAACAGCAAGCAGCAATCAGAAGAATCTACTCTCCTGTAAACGTTTACATAGATGTGGAAATCCCAACATTTGTAGACCATGTTCCAAGGAAAAGTTAAGTATTGGTTTTCCATATTTTTTGTAGGTTTACCCCCAGGGGCACTTTTCGCACTGGTTTTGTAGTGACGCTCAAGCCACTGAGATTGGGAAAAACGTAATCCTTTTGCTGACAAAAATCACGTAGCATCCCCGCAAGGCTTTGGAAGATAATTTTTCTTCGGGTCCAAGACATCGCAATGGTGCAGCTACATGCACCAATTCTCACCTTCATGTGTTAGATCAAGCAATTGAGACATCCGTCGTGGATGGTATGGCTGGGAATGCTTTGCCATCCTGGGATTTTGCTGTACAATCTATTGATTGAATGATTTTCCAACTTGGCCGGTTGGATTATTCTAAGCCAGACCTGAGTGGGCTACGCTTTTGGGTTCAGATTTTATCGTTGGGATTCATTGGGTAAAATGATGTTCCAAAGAAAACTGGGTCAACCTTGCTTAGGTACTATCTATATCTATTTCTATATCTATATCTATGTATATATATATACCTGGTTGGTGGTTTGGAACATTTTTTATTTTCCATATATTGGGAATATATATTTCCCAACTGACTTTTATATTTTTCATGGGGGTTGAAACCACCCACCATATATATATATAGATGTAATAGCAATAGGTGGTGACCCATCCCCAAATGATTTTCCAAGTTCCAAGGGCTATGTTTTTCCCCGGAGGCACTGCAAGACTGTGAATGGTGTGTCCATCTACAGGCAGAGGCCGGGTGCATAAATGGGTAGATTCTGCTGCGTTTTGTTTCATGGTATATATCTAAGATTTATCATGGATTTCAGGGACATGTTTGGCATTTCTTTTCTAGTAGAACTGTTCCATCGTCAAGATTGCATTTGTTGTACATTGAATCATTTGGGTCAGATTTTTTCTTGTCATACACTCTGGTAACATATTTAGAATGAATGAATGTTCAACGGCCTAGAAGCTTGGGTACATTAAAGGCTTAGTCCTGAATTCATACTTGTTGCCGTGCAAAAGTGACATATTTGACATGGAAAGTCTTGCAAAATAATTCATCATTGGACGGGTCTAGAAAAGTTCTTAACAGGAAACCCGTGTGTTCCATGAAGCACACATTACACTTGTTATAGATTGTCCTCAAATTCATCCCAATTCATTCAGCATCTTTCAGCAATTTGGAATCCACAACGTGATTCTTCTTAAATGTGTCCTCTGCTTCTGAGGGAATGTTCCCAAGATGTATTATGTATAATATATTATTATCATATTTACTATCTACTCACATAAATTTGTAATTATATATATATATACATATGTTACGTAAGTAGATGTCTATGAGGATATTCAGCCTCATTTGCCCCAGCTCAAAGCTGCACCATCGAACCAGGCTCCTGCTGCACGATCGAGACCTCGACGACGACGAAGTGCTAGCGCTGACGGCGCTGACTGCAGATTTTCAGCTGCTGGTGCTGCCCTTCCACCATGATCCAAGCGATCTTCAGGTGGAAAGTCGGACTTGTGCTGAGGGAGCCTGAAATTTTCTTGTGGCAAATTGATAGTATATATATATATTATATGAGTAATATACACATATAATGATGTAAATACTGTGAGTATTCCTATATATATATAAAATGATGTATATACATATAGGTATATGGTTATACATGTTTATACATATATAAATACAATGGTTGCTGGTTTCAATATATATATATATACAAATTATATCATGTTATATTATATCATATTATATTATATCATATTATATTATATCATGTTATATTATTCTATTATATTTTATAATATATATTGTATTATATCATATTATATTATATTACATTATATTTTATTATATTATGTTATATTATTAAATTATTTTTTTATATTATATATTGTATTATATTTTATTATTTTACTATATTATATTATAGTATATTTTATCATATTATATTAAATTAATATACTCTATTATTTCATATTATATTATACTATGTTGTATTATATATTATATACTATCATATTATATTATTTTATTATTATATATTTTATATTTTATATATTAAATGATATTATATTATAGTATGTTATATATATAAATATTGTCATATTATATTATTCTATTATAATATATATATATATATTATATTATATCATATTTTTATTATATATTGTATTTTGTTATATTATATTATGATATTATATTAAATTATATTATACACAAATTTCCACCTGAGATCCGAGGCCTTCCGTGCGGCAGTGCAGTGGGGCGACGCGCTGCAGGTGGAATCGCTGCTGCGAAGGGCCATCGATCCCAATCTTCCAGGCGCCCTGGAGCGTCGCTTCTTAAAGGGGCCGGTGGATGGGGAAAAAATGGGGCAAAAATGGGGAAAAAATGAGGACAACTGGGGAAAAATGGGGAACAGCTTGGAAAAACTGGTGATTTCTTGAGGATTTCATGGGGATGTCAGAAAGAAACCTGGGATTTTAACAGACAATCATGAATATATGGTTTTTTCTTGTTTTTTCACGGGATTCAATTTAATCATGATTTTTTGTTATGCCCAATTGTGGACAGATCCGCGCATATCCGATAAACCATCAAATCCAATAAATTCACCATTCATTTCCATAAGCTCATATCCGAGTTTTCCATAAACTGATTTCCATAAACTAATATCTGGATATGTTGATGTTATCCGATTCATCATATCTACACACCCCTTGGATTCCTTGGATCTGCCGCCAGGCACGACGTCGTGTCAAGTCGCCGCCTTCCACGGCCATGGCGACGTGCTGCGGATCCTGTTGGCCGCCCAGGCTGAGCCCAACGCGGCGGATGCCGAGGGCAAAACGGCGCTGCTCGTGGCATCGAACAAGGCGGTGACATGGGGATTTGGTAACCCCCCAATTGAACAAACAGTCTAGGTGTTTTTTGTTGACCCCGGGTTCACATTATTTAGATTATTTAGGAATTTTAGATGCTTCAAACATCAAAGAAATGAGAATATCGATGGGTGTTAGATATTGACTAGTATTTTGTTTTTGGCTATCAATGGTAACATGTACATCCACCAACAAAAAAAAACAGGTATCTAAGAGTCACCATCTGTATGCTGCTGAAAAAATGGATGTGAATGGGATTTTTTCACCACCATTGATGGGGATTTGAGCTGCTTTAAGCATCAAAGATCATCAAAGAAATGGGAATATGATTGATAAATGATGGTTGATTGGTTACTATAGGGACTTATAGATACTTTTACTTATACTAGATTATGATAAGCCATAGGATTGAGAGAGCGTTTTCAACCAACTCTAGTCTTTCATGAGAAAACGGGGGTATTGGAACAATGGCCTTTGGTTGCGATAGGGCGGTGACACAACGGGGTAATTTCAGGGGTTCAACCGTGTTTAACCAACACAAACTGGTTGGGAATAGTGGATCAGTTGTTAAACAATTAAGCAAGTGGTAGCCCACAATGTTTAACCCCAAACTTGTGGTTTAATTAACATGGTTTAAGTACATTCGTTTTTTTTTTCTGGTAGATCACCCATTGAGAAAGTGGATCATGCGGCGCAGACTAAAACCTCTTGGCTTTGGCAACACGTGATTCGACAAAATGAGGACGCAACATGTTGGAAGTTTGGAGTGCATTCTTTACTTTTATGTTGTACTAAGACATACATACTTCTGATTGCCGATAAACACATTCAGTTACAAATAGTTACATATAGTTACATGATGTTACATGATGTGACATGTATGTATATATATAATTAAACATATATATGTATTAACGTATAACATGTACACAGTATATGTGTATACATATTTGGCATGTGCCCCCCAACAGAACAGAGTACTACCCACAGAGATGAAACCGCAAACCCCAGGGCTATGTGGAACTTGTGCGTTCCCTCCTCGACGCCGACGCAGATGCGAACCAAGCAAATTGCAACGACAACACGCCGCTGTGGGTGGCATCATGGATACTTTGTGGCATGTGACTGGTGATTTAAATTGGAATTCACCACACAAAATGCGTTGAATGGTGATGTTAAAAAAATGTGATTTTATGGTGAACTCAGCAAGACTGATGATTTTTGGGGATTTAGCCGACATAGATTGTGTTTTGGGAATGAATGGGCTAAGTTGGTTCGAACAACTATGCCAACTATTTGGTCTATGGTGATGAAACAACTATACGTAGTTATCGAGCGAACATGCCCACAATCTGCGGCCGACAGGAAATCATTGAGTTGGCTTCGGTTTTTGGAACAGCGCTTGCTTGTGCACTTCCTGATAACTTAGGTAGAGGCCCCAGCCTCTTGCATTTTCCCTTCATCAAGTTATTTGGTTGACGTGTCAAGTCGAGATCTTGGTTGGGTTCCATCAAGATCATCAAGGCACGACTATCAGCATCACAAGATCATATCCCCTGGGAACCCAAAAAAAACATAAGTTGGGATATAACTGATATAACCCCCTCTGTATAGGATAGCTGGGTCAACCGACTGGTTAGATACTCACTAGTACAACTTCATGTTTTGCGATAGCAATGGTGACTTGTACGTAAACCAGCTAAGTAAAACTAAAAATTGCATGTATATAGGATTCACCATCTTCATGTTCGAATGATTTGCTAGGACTAGGTCAATTTACCGGCAAATTGATCATGCACCTAGTATTTACCAGTTGCTGAGTAAAAAACTGTTTTTGCTGATTATCTCCGTTTGAAACATTTACAGTAAGTACACGTATCCGTATTAGTGAATAGTTGATAGTTTCAATCCTGATTGAAACTACCACCCGGACTGATTGAAATCACCAACCATAGTCTCCTGTCAGAGAAAAACAACAAAGCATCCTGTAATTTTTACTTTCGGGTGCAGTTCCACTCACAAGTGCTTATATATAGTCAGAACAGAATTATAGGGTCCCCATATCCCAACTTATGGGGTTTAGTTACCCTGCTTATATTCACAAAATATCTCCAACTGCACCCCCAGGTACTATCATAGTTTCAAGTTACAAGTTACAAACTGGAAAACAGATGTTATAAGTTACAAGATATGTCTGTTAGTTTATAAAAAGGTTAACCGTGCCATATATATGTAATATATATATATACACAGCACAAACTTATGTTAGTTATGAATGGTCAAATTATCGTTTTCTATGCGGGCTAATAAACCACCAGTTTTCCTCAATTCATTGTAACCATAGATATATCTACCATAAACCAGAGTTATAGTGAAACTAAACCAAATTAGCTATCTAATTATCCAGATTATCCCCAGTACATTACAATTGAATCCCCATGATATTCTTATTTAATCACCATAAATCCCATAACATGTCCATGAAATCCCATAAAATCACCACTTTTGCCATGAAATCACCATTAAATCATATTAAATCACCATTATATCACCATGACGTGTGTGTATGTGTATATGTGTGTATATATATATGGTAACTGCAACTCAGGAAGGGCCACCTCGAAGTGGTTCGGTTATTGCTGAAAGGGCGAGCAGATCAGAACAAGGTGAATCACAATGCATCTTGGTATGGAAAACAACACCTTGAACTTGGGTTTGAATGGGATTTTATGGGGATTTAATGGGGATTTAATGGGATTTTATGTGAATTCATGTGATTTGATGGTGATTTGCTGGATATGTTCATTGTAATTATGGGATTTAACTGTTCAAAAGGAACAACCAATTGGGATCCCCCCATACCGGGTTCCGGTACAGCACTGGCGACCTTTGAGTGCCGTTTTGGATCCCATTTTCGAGCCACACGCAGATCTTATCGATCTTGCGTTGCAAAACATCGGCACCTTTGCGATTGGTTCCGTGCAAACTATGATATTTATCTCCATGCGGAGACACTGACCATGGTGGACGATGCAACCCTTCTCTTTGAGACTGTGCAACATTTGCTGCTTTTGAAGCCTACTCCTGAAACAACGTCCGACACTGTGGCCGACTCTACCGGCGGCCCAAGTGCCACGGCTCCGCCAACTGACATTGAGCCGTCGCCGTCCAGGCTATACCAGATTGATTCTTGGACTACTGACACCAATTGATGGAGACGGAGATGTTTCTGGATTGCATGCCTTGGTCACACCGGTGACACCAGATTGATAAATTGTGGAGGTTTTGTGAATTCGGGGTATTGCCATGACCAGGCGACACTTGTTGCGGGGTTCGATGGGATTCGTAGAATGTAACTATTGAATTTGAACATTTTTAGCGGATCTAAGTAGCAAAAATGGTCATAAATTGGGATACAAGGGACATTTCAGGGGGCAGCAAAGAGTATGATGTGGGTTTGCCTAGACGCGTGGCCCTGGAAAATATGGAAATCAACTCGCTTGGTGTATAGTGGGATTGACAGGATGTCATCAATCTTATGACAGTTTTGGTATTGGGTATATGGTGCTGGTTGGTGGTTTGGAACATTTGGATTATATATTTTTCCACATATTGGGAATATATTTCCCCAACTGACTTTCATATTTTTCAGAGGGATTGAAACCACCAACCAGTGGTGGATACGGGAAACAGTAAGAACCAGAGTAGACAAGGAATTTCCCATTGGCATGGTGGACGAGACATTGCACATTTGTACTGTACGGTGACAACATTTAAATCTTTGGAGTAGTGGATTTGATTTCCAACTGTTTAAACATTATCTTTTTATTTCCATAATTTCCCATGTTTAAATGTTGGGTAGGCCTCCCAGGAACCCCATTTTGGTGGTCATTTTTCTCTGTTTAATTCATTTAAACATCCGCGTGTTTTAATTTGGGCGCCGTACAATGGATTGGTCACCCTTTTGAGCCAGCTGTGCTGTTCACCTAAAATCCTGTCAAACCTTGAACTGAAGATATTGAAGACACCGCAAAACATACAGTGGATGGGAAGAAATCACCAGTTGATAAGTGGTTTATCTCACTATTTCAAGGTATTTGAAGGATTTCAATCATTCCAAGTGGTGCAGGATTTATTGAACCATCCAAAAGTGATGGTTTGAGTGTCATCTCTCCAATCGTGTTATCTTTCAGGTCTGTTACCATTTTCCTTGCGGACATTACCCTCTGGTAAACAAACATAACTATGGGAAATCTCCATTTTTGATGGGTAAATCAACTATTTCTATAGCCATGGCTTCAAAGATCCTCTGGTAAACTAACATAACTATGGAAAATCACAATTTTCTATGGGTAAACTCACTATAACTGGCCATTTTCAATAGCTATGTTAAATTACCAGAGGGTACCCACATGGTTTTGTTGGACACTTTGAAGACGGATCGGATCGTGTTTTTGCGGACGATGCAATGGCCTGTGGTTGGATCACCTCATCGTTGCCCAGAAAAAACTTGTCCCAACAAGGGTGGTTAGAATAGATGAATCATTTACAAGGTGGTGCCCCCTAGATATATTTACCATAAACCGAACCATAGTTAACCTAGTTAATCATAGTTAATCTAGTTATAATTCTACTGGGCTAACTATGGAGCACCACCTTGCATAGGTTGATCATGATAGGGCGATGGCATTATCAATGACTTATAGTGCGTTGCAATAGTACGGTGCTGCAAATATATCAAGTGTACTCATTCAGTACTACTGTAACCGCTGAACCAATCCCAAAGTCTGTGAAGTATTCATAGTATCGTTTAAATATGCAGATCTTATGTTACATCAGTCGCAATATTCGGGTCTATGTTACATACCCTTAGATTCAAGATGCACGCCCAAGAATAGGATTGGTTTCCGGAGAAAACTGAAAAAATCCTGGGGGCCATCCCCTAATTGTGAGCCCCTTAAAAGGGGGTGCCCCACAGTCAGTTAGCTAAGTTGGATGATATAACTATATAACTAGGTGAGTTCTATGGTTTATGGTAGAGATAACGTATATCTATAGATTCTAGTTTATGTGGTTTACTAAACCAACTTATAACTGGGGGGCCCCATCCTGGGGGGCCCCATCCTGTAGGCAAATTGGATATTATTGGATGTTTGAAACCAAGCTATCCTCGGGGCGCCACCAAATCATCACCCATATGCTCCATGGTGCTGGAATAGTTACCAACATTTACCCCATAAAGGACCCAAATGTAGGTAAATATAATATACATGGAGCATATGGGTCATGAAGTTGAGACAAAATCCCCAAATTTGGTGGTTAGGTCCCCGTGAAATCCAAGTAAATCACCATGAATAATCCAAAAATCCCCATCGAAAACTCAGCCTTTTAGCCTCCGGTAAACGTTTACATAGCGAACTGGAAAATCACCATGCATTTTTTATGGGAAAACTCACTATTTCTATGGCCATGTTCAATAGCAAACTGTTAGTTTACCAGAGGCTACTTCTACATAAATCCCATTTAATTCCCATTAAATCACCATTAAATCACCATCATCATTTCCCCTACTTTCCTTTGAAATCCGGCATGGAATCAGGTGGAATCCGCTCTTTGGGTCGCCTCGGACAACGGCCATGCGGATGTGGTGCAGCTGCTGATCAAGTGGAAAGCGCAGGTGGATTCCTGTGACTTGGGATCGATTTGCAAAAGTGAATGGCTGGTTGGTGGCTTGAAACTTTTGGATGATTTCTACAAGGTGGTGCCCCCCAGTTATAAGTTGGTTTATAAACCCCATTAACTATAGTTATAAGTACCATAAACCATAGTTATTAGAGTTATAAATCAACTTAGCTATCTTGGGGGCACCACCTTGTATGGTTAATCATGGTTAATATAATGGTCAATACTGGTTAATAATCACTGGTTGGTGGTTTGGAACATGACTGGATTATGACTTTCCATTCAGTCGGGAATGTCATCATCCCAATTGACGAACTCTATCATTTTTCAGAGGGGTAGGGCTCAACCACCAACCAGATGGTGATTGATCATGAACTGAATGGGATTCCGATTCCTCATGGGTTTTGGCGATTTGGTTGGATGTTACCAAGAATGATGATGTTTAATTGTGGATTTTGGAAGCGGTTCAGAGCCGAGATCATCTCTATGTGGGGACAGAGTTTTTGAAGCCTATGATAGTTTGGTAGGATCGATAGATCAGGGAAATTTCTGTTTTTTTTGGATTTTTCTGGAAGTTTCTAGGATTCGAGTATTTTTGTTCAATGATTTAAGCAAGAAAATAATGGGCTTTAATGATGTTTAAGGAAGATATGGTGTTTAAAGGTGATTGCTCAATGTTCAGTGATTGTTCAATGGTTTATTCTCTTGCTAGTGTTCAATGAAGATATGGTGATTTGAGGGGATTTGATGGATCTAGCAAAGTGTTTAATGGGGTTTATATATTGGTGTTTACTGGGGATATACCGGTAGTGTGATGTAACGAACAAACATGATGGTTTTATGATGTTTTATGGTATATCATGATATCATGGCCCCATAGTTAGCTAAAGGGATAGTCGGATAGACTGAGGATACTGCTACAATGGAATACAATGGAGTAATGCCTGGAGAATATTGGGATATAATGGGACAATAATGGTAGAATCGGATAGTATCTGGTGAACTAACATTTTGCAATGGAAAATCACCATGCTATTAATGGGAAAATCCACTATTTCTATAGCCATTTTCCATAGCTTTTTGTATGTTCACCAGAGGGTAGCATCTTGCAATACAATGCGAAAGACCTAGACTCATTGGATAGTTTCTTTACGATCAAAATGCCGGATTTCCCAAGCGTTCCCTGACACACCCGTTCCGGGATAGGTAAATTTAGCCTCTGGGGATTAGCCTCTGGTAATCAAACATGGCTTGGAAAATCTCCAGATAAGTGGATAAATGGAAAATCTATCAAAATCTCTGGAACATCTCTGGAAAATCATCCGGAAATCATAAATGGAGGTAAATGGATGATTTTCAATTGCCACGTTTGATGACCGGAGGGTAAAATGTGTTTCTTTCTTTCATGTTCGTTTCTTAATAGCGACGGACAATCACTCCGTAGTTTAGGAAAACATTTTTTGCAGCTAATTATATCGTAAGAGAGCCACTTTGAACATTATGTTCTGAGTGCATACTTCAATCATCTCGTATAATTTGAGCACTTTCCCTATCTAATGTATCAATCTCTCAATCTATCCACCTATCCACCTATCCATCTATCTATCTACCTATCTATCTATCTATCTATCTATCTGGGGGGTCCCACTTTGTATCAATGGGAACTGGTTCTATGGCAATCTATATTTTGGTACGTGGCATGCGGGTTCGTTGGAATCACTGAATGTCTTGCACAAGCGGGGAGTTGAGCCGGACAACTTGTTTGAACCATGGATGTAACACCATTCAATCTAAAAATACAGATAGAACACATATACCGGTTGCTGGTTTGAAACACTTTTTATTATTCCATATATTGTGAATATCATCATCCCAACTGACGAACTCATATTTTTCAGAGGTGTAGGTTGAAACCACCAACCAGATATAGAAAACATATAGAACACGTGAGTCTTGAAGACATACAAGGTGGTGCCCCCCATGTTATAAGATGTTATAAGTTGGTTTACAATCCCATTAACTAGTTCGATATATCTACCATAAGTCCTAGTGAAATTAGACTTACGTTCACCAACTTAGCTATCGACCGGGGGCACCACCTTGTAATATATGGGATGTCATTCTTCCCATTGACAATAGATGATTGACCGTTATTAACCATTATTAACCATTATTAACCAATCCTTAGCTTATTAACCATGGAATATAGATGATTAACCATGATGGGATGATTGGTCAGTTGGTTGGTTACTTATGTCAACCAAACAACCAACTACTCTCTGGCAAACATACAGAAAACGAACTGGAAAAATCACCATTTTTGACGATAGATGATTAACCATTATTAACCATTATTAATAACCATTATTAATCATGGTTAATAACCATTGTTAATCATTATTAACCATTATTAACCATTTAACCATGGAATATAGATGATTAACCATGATGGGCAAGGAATCCCCATCAACATCCATCAACCCATCAACGATCCATCCAGGTGATCACCAGAAGACCAGTCCATTGTGGGTCGCTGCGTGGAAAGGCCACGTGGACATTGTGGTCGTCTTGTTACGATCCAAGAAGGATCCGCACCTGACGCTGGGACTTCAGGTGGGATTTCATGGGAAAGCCCATGAACTAAGTGGATTTCATGGGATATGGAACCATAATTTCAATGGATTCCATTGGATTTCAATGGATTCCATTGGATTTCAATGGATTTTATAGGATTTAGCTTAGTGGAAGTGCAGTGAACTAAGTGAACTAAGTGGACTAAGTGGACATGTAACTATAGTTATAGACGCCCCCACATCCCAACTTATGGGGGTGTTTTCACCATGGCTATATCCGTTTGTAACCTCAACCGCAAGCCCAGGTTACGATGAAAGCCACGTATGCGGATGTCTCAAAATAGGGTGCCACAAGGCTTTATATCTTAATACTATCTTAATTGAGCAATGTAAAGTTTCGGGCACCCATATTTCAAGACATTCCCATGTCTATGCATATCAAACAAAACCTGATTGCTCGTCCCAACCGTTCTTTTTCTAAACCTCAACGTTTTTCCTCATTGAAGGTTTCATAGGTCCCAATAAACCAATGCCCTCTGGTAAACTAACATAGCTATTGAAAATGGCCATTGATTGTGGATTTACCCATGAAAAAAGGTGATTTGCCCATCAGTTACGTTAGTTTACCAGAGGGTAAATCCCATTAAATCCCAGTCAATCACCATTTTTCTTGGTGAAATCCCATTAAATCCCATTAAATCCCGAAGCCGTACCGGTTTTTGTCATCAAGAAATGCCGCTACTACGGTGCCCCTTGGCCGGCCGATGTTGGCCGATGTTGGCCGTCAAGCCGGTCGGAAGTTCACCACCATCAAAACTGCTGGTAGAATCCACCCCAAAAATGGATGAAGTGTGGTGTTTTTGGATTCGATAACGTTGGTAGGTCATAGTGGCTTACAGTTTTCCATTCTGCACTGAGTTCACTGGAACTTCAGTATGATAATGTAGGAATAGTATCCCCTAGTATCAGAATAGCCGGCAGTTATAGCCCGAAATACCAGTTATAAGTCAGTGAAATCAGACCATTTATGGAATGATAACTCCATTTTAAACAATTTATAACCATGTACCGTTTATAACTGGTAAAGGACCTTAACTGTATACCATCAGCTTTTCTTTCGCAGGGATTGTACAAAAAACACTTACATGGAAATAGCAATAGGAGGAAATCTTGACCAACGGGTATAGTGTATAGTACACCCTTCAGTTAAGGTCCTTTACCAATTATAAATGGTTAATTATACATGGTCATACATGGGGTTATCATTCCATAACTGGCTTGATTTCACTGACTTGTAAATGGTAAAGGCGGAGAACTGTGATCGGAAATCGCTAAAGGATACCGCCACCAACTGGTGCGGGATGGACCATCCACAACTGGACGATTTAAAATTGACAAAAAGATATGCTATAACTCGGTATAATAATCATAAGGCATATATATATATATATAAAGGTAATGGGGATATATATATATATAACATTATATAACTCGATTCAGATACCTTTCAGATACCTCATTGACGGTTTTGATCCACAATTCAGATCTGAATTTTGATCAAAGCTTGGGGGTGGTAAAACTGTCATGGCTCATGGGGCGATCCCCCATTTCTAAAGAGGCATGCATGCTAACTAGCCTAGGTGCAAAGCAACTTAGTTAGTCATGGAGGTTCCTGAGTCATGGGGTACATCCAAATCATCCAAGTCATTCGACCATGACTTATAGTATTGAAACCTATAGTGACTTGGGAGGTACCCCATTTTTTGGACACGCGCGCACCATCAACCATTGACGCCCAGGACGGATCACGCCCAGGGCGCCACGCCCCTGTGGGTAGCGTCAAAACATGGTAGGGTGGAGGTGGTGCGCTGCTTGATGAAAGCAAAGGGAAATCCTGACAAGGCCCAAAGGGCACAGCACCGGGATTAACCAAAAAAAAGTGATGCAATTATTGATGCAATGGGAGTTTTGGGAATAGGCCATTACAAATGAAAAAAGGGTTTTGACTAAAAAATGTGATTTAATGGGATATATCGGATATATATATATATCATATGTATATTGGTGATATAATCGGATAGTTGATTAGGTTGGAAACATTGCCAATTCCTGGGGCTATAGCCCCCAATATATCAGATGTGTGGGGTGGTTGCAACTAAGTCAGTCCTTATCTTTCACGATGGGGTCTTGGTGCCCCAAATTCACCGATTTACTGCGTGGAAGTCTGGATGTGGACGTCTGCAGGGTCCTTCAAAGAGGTTGCCGAAATGCACCTTCGTATACATATATATATATATATGTGAATATATGATATAACTTATTGTGTATATATATATATATATATTTGTATGTATATATATATATATATGTATATATATATATATGTATTTAACTAATATATATATATATATGTATTTAACTAATATATATATATGTATATGTATTTAACTAATATATATATATTATAATTCCACCATTCAAAACTTTGAATGCTTTGAAGCATAGCCAAACCATGGACCAGGTCCAGGTGGATCTCTTCAGAGCAAGCTTCGACGGTGACCCGATCGGGAACTGGGTCAGACTTTAGACAAGATGAATGCAGCAGAGACCACCCACTACGATCCAGACATGGATTTCGACCACTGCTGGAGCCGCTCGACATGTGCCGGCAGGGTGGCAGAAGTGGAAGGCCTCATTGCAGAAGCCCAACATGCGCATGAAAACGAAGTGACACGCCATGCCTGACAGCGGCGCACCAGGAAGAGCTGCCTGCTACATATGTATTTACTTTTAACAATATATATATATATATACATACGTATATAATATAATATAATATAATATAACATAATTTAATGAAATATAACATAATATAATATAGTATATATACTGTATAATATATACAATATACATGGATATACACTTTTAACATGCGGATATAACTATAATACTATAGTTGATGGGCTTATAAAGCAACACAAATTTTGGACATGCTGGGCCTCACCTCAAAGGAATCATCTCCATTTCGTCAATTCCTTGACCATTTCGTCTCCATCATCAAACCGATCTGAAACAATAACTGGTTGGTGGTTTCAAACATTGGTTTAGTATGGGGTAATGATGGTTAATCATGGTTCATACTGGTTAATAATCACTGGTTGGTGGTTTCAAAATGTTTCAAACATGAATTTTATTTTCCATACATGGGATGTCATCCTTCCCATTGACTTTCATATTTTTCAAGATGGTTGTTGCACCACCAACAAGATAAATATTGGTTTGGGAAAATAATGTTCCCAAGGGCTGCTATTATTTCTGTTCCCCGTTTTTGTTGCATCTAAAATCGCACAAACAGCCACTCGGATGTGCATACAATTACAAAATAGTAAATTGTTTTTTAAACCCATACACAACCCGCATAGTACTGGGGATATGCCATATGACTACAATGTGGGGGCCCGCAGTTATAATTAAGTTGGTTTATAAACCCCACTAAGTATAGTTATAACTACAGTACCATTAACCATAGTTATTGGAGTTATAAGCCAACTTAGCTATCTTGGGGGCGCCACATTGTAGGGTATACTATGGATATTACCCACTGGTTTCTGCCGCACCCCGCACCTTGCACCTCGTGACAGGCCAACCGCGAGGGACGCTCGCCTCTGTGGGTGGCGTCGTATTGGGGCCACCTCCATGTGCTTCTGCTCCTGTTGCTGCAACGTCTTCATGGCAACCTTCGGAACGTGGTTGGAGATTGTTTGCGCCGTGACGGAGCTTGCGGAGGGTTGAATTTTCGAAGCACCAACCAGATCCAACCAGCGCAACAAAAATCGATCAAACATCAATAAACATATATTGATTATTGAAAACATGTGGTTATAAATGTGGTCAAACATTATTGTTGTGGGTACCCTCTGGTGAACTAACATAGCAATGGAAAATCACCATTTTTAATGGGAAAATCCACTATAAATGGCAATTTTCAATAGCTATGTTAGTTTACCAGAGGGTAAATATTGTTTTTCAATTCAATTGAACTTGTAGCATGGTTGACATCGAGAGATGGGGGTTACCCGGCCTGGTAAACGTTTACAAAAAACGATGGGAAAATCACCATGTTTTTAATGGGTAAATCAACTATTTCTATAGCCATTTTCAATAGTTTTTTGTATGTTTACCAGGGGGTATATAATTACTGGATATTAGTGGAAATGACATGTGAATGCAAAATGGTATGGTTTTGGGAATATGCAGGAAAACAATGAGACCATTATGAGATAGTTGACTAAGATTAGCGCCAATTTTCACCACTGAACATCAATGTCCGACTTGAAAATTGTTATGTTGAGGATTCCCCGCTGGATTTGGCTAGTCTCCTGGCAGGGAAACCATCAGATACAGTGAAGACAAATCCCACTAGATGAGAAGAAGCGGGAATGCCCGCAATGTTTTACTTTATACTGGTTGGTGGTTTGGAACATTTGGATTATTTTTCCATTCAGTTGGGAATAATCATCCCAACTGACGAACTCATATTTTTCAGGGGGTGGCTCAACCACCAACCAGTGATAGTATTCCTATGTTAAATGGGTGGTGAGCAAATTGTCATGAACTAAAAGAGCACCAACCAGGAGGTGGCCGTCAAGAACAGTGGGATGTGGTGTCCGAAAACAAGTGATGGACATTCCAAAAAGAGAAACTTCCAACAACATCAAACAACAATGTGGCAACCCCAAATCAACACGTCTCTTGAAAGAAGTGGACATATTCAGATGATCATGTGGCAGGAGTAACTCGTGCCTAAAGAAATGGCCATTCTGAATTCATCCGTTGTAAAGAATTCACTACCATGGTTTTATGTTAATCCTGTTATACAATGTGGTGCCCCCGGTCGATAGCTAAGTTGGTGAACATAACTCTAATTTCACGTTTGGACTCATGGTAGATATATCGAACTAGTTAATGGGATTATAAATCAACAAACATAACTAGGGGGCACCACCTTGTAGCCATTTACATCCATTAACAATAATTGATAACTGGTTAGTGGTCCACCATCCATTGGCTTTGTAAAGCAACGTTCACATCACTGGGGGGCAGCCACGCAGCCACCTTTCCGTCATATCACATCTTCAGAATTCTCCAGATATGCGAACATAAATGGTGCTGGAATATGAATCCCAACATAAAAACCCCATTTCGTAGGTAAATAATGGTAAATAATGGTAAATATACTGAAAACATGGAGCATATGGCTATATATTTACCCTAATAAAGTGGTGTGTAGCCATTTTTTCGCGGGCCCTTTGAATGTCTTGGTCGCTCAACTTTAGGTGCTGAACGTCTCAGTTGCCGTCCACGTCTCGCTTTCGAAAAAGCAAGCGCGTTGTGCCTGGTTAGTTGCTGTAAACAAATTTTAAGAGCAAGATGGGTATGATACGGTATAGATGTATTTCATTAATGGTACAAGAAACTCACCAGCCGATGTTTCATTTTCTGTGAGGGGAAACTAAGATTTGCCTTGTATCTATTCCATTCTATATCAATACAATATATTATATATATATACGTATAATATGTATATATATATATTGTCTATATATCTCTACCATGTGGGGCCCCCTCAGTTCTAAGTTGGTTTATAAAACCCAGAAAGTATCGTTATAAATATACCATAAACTATAGTGAAATTGGAGTTATGTTCACCAACTGAACGCTATCGACCGGGGGCACCACTGCAGTACGAAAACGACCCTCAAAAACGCACAGGAGTCGGTGGGAACCATCACCACAGCGACTCCCACCAACATTGAAGGTGGGCCCAGCGAAGGGTTAAAGACAAAGTCTGGATTTGAAGTATATACACAACAGTTATGGCCTGAAATACCAGTTGTAAGTCACTTATAAGGCCATTTATAGAATGATAATCCCATTTCACCATTTATAACTGTTTATAACCATTTATAGCTTGTAAAGGACCTTGACTCAAGCGTCAAATGAAAACCCAAACCCGATATCGATATCATACGGTAACAACCGAAGATGAAAGCATACGGGTATCAGTCGGTATTAGCCAGAAAAAAAGAACTTTGTACGGGCATACAGCAAAGACTCATGAGATATTGTGTAATTTGTATTTGTTTGGTGGTGGAGCGGGTAATGCCTTTGAACATGTGGACACGAGTGCCATGATTTAACCGAGTCGTAATGGATGATTTACAGCCCAATTCATCCACCATTGCAAATGATTTCAATTGGTTAAAATATGTTAAAAGCTTCAATGCAACGGTGGGCTGCTAAACAGGAAGACACCAATCAACCGGCTGTCTCAAACATGATGACCCCTGCTGGGTAAACTTTGTCCTAGTTCCTAGCCACTTTTGTGGAGAAATATGTCATCTCCTCAAAGATAAATAAGTTATGTACAGGATAGTCATGACTGGCTCCATCGTAATTGCAGGTATCATGTTGTTGTATCCCATGTTTTTTGTTGCTCAAACAGCCACTTTCCAGTAATCAAACACCGCAATGGAAACCAGGAAACAATGTAGTACATATGGATGATTTCCATTGTTATGTGCTGTTCAAGAGGCTAGTTAGACTGTTCATCCCCAATTTTAGCATGTACAGTCTGTACAGTCTATAATCCCCATTGCAAGTGGACTATCTAAACCTGAATACCCTATTGATTCACCAGCTTTGTAAATATGTTTATATGTATGTGTATATACTGTAAATATGTTTATATATATATATATATTAAGTAGTGAAACACCAAGTCGCTATCATCATCTCAAATGCTCAAACGTGTTTTTGTCGCAACCGCTGAGCAGATGCAGTTTTTTTTTAAAAAAAAACGATATTTTCCGATGGTAGTTCGATGACGTTTCACCTTTGACAACGGTGGTTGCTATCCCACCCAAGGATGATTATAGCCAGCCTAAATCCAACAGTTCTGTGAGTCATTTAAACCATACATCAGCAAACTTGGTTTGATACGATGAGGATTAGATCACCACAGATCATGAGAAGTAATGATGGTGAATAGAATCATAGTTGTATTAAACCACGGTCAACTAAGTATAGTATAAGTACAGTTAAAGTTAACTGATAGTTATTAACCATATTATAATCATAGTATAGTTAGCTAATAATTATAGTTATATAACTATACTATTAGTTGGATTAAAACTAATAATAACTACAATGTGGGGCCCCAGTCGATAGCTAAGTTGGCGAACTCCAATTTTACTATAGTCTATGATACTCATATTGCTCTAGTTTTTCATAGGGTTTACAAGTTTAATAACCGACTTAGCTAATAACAATAACTATAACTCCAATTTCACTATAGTGTATGATACTTATTGCTATAGTATTTAAACTCCAATAACTATAGTTTATGATACGCAACTTTCTATAGTATTCATAGGGTTTTCTTTAACCAACTTAGCTATCGCCCGGGGACCCCACATTTCAAGACCACCGGCAACTGCAAGGTGAGGCACCCAGCTTAGTTATCATAAGATCAGCTATAAATCCCATGGAAAATCCATGTTTTCCATTTTTGTTTTATGGGTGAAGCCTTCACATTTTCCAGTGTCCGATTTCGCTTAGGGCCTCACCTTGGATACCTTGGCCGTTCCGCGACTCAGCCGACCTCCCTGTAGGCACCTATGCGGGACGCTTTACGCCCACCCTGCCGGGTATCTACAAACTTCAGGCCATTGACGTGGATTCTATGGACTTCATGGATTCAAACGGGGCCACTGACGATGATTTAGCGGGGGGGTCATTGGGATGATGGCTAGAAAATATTCGATAATGAATGGGGTTGTGAAATGGGCAGTGACCAAAAACTTGAAGATTACACTTGCAAACAAAAAACCTTGAGTTTGGTCCCTCACAAGAAACAAACATATGTTTCCACTTTTTAGTTGCCAGCGCCTAGGGCGAACCGTTGGTAGAATCGCAAGATGTTGCTGAGCACAATCCGCCATCTCACTTCACCAAGCACCTCCAGACCTCCGGAAGACCTGCATCTGACTTCTTGGAGGAAGAGGAGGACTCAAACAAGCAGCACAAGCGCTTTCTTGCCAACATTCGATAACTGGGCCCCTCCTGCGTGTCGCAAGCCTCTCGGCCCCATTGGTACCACCAGTTGGAAAACATCCGAGATCCTAACACCTCGGAAGTGAACATTTCGGTGCATGGCAACATGCATTTGGCAAGGTGGGATAAGTTGCTCTTAGCAACAGCTCCTTCCAACGCAGCAACAATTTTCCAGTACCACATTACGGAACTCCAGGTTTGAAGAACTATACCTGCACCTTGACATAGACGAGTATTACTCAAGTATCCCGGAAAGAGAGACAAACAAGTGATTTATTAATGTTTAATTATTATATTTCATTCAACACTGTATATTGTGGATACCGATACTGGTACCCTTGTGTCAAAGAACCAACATACATGGCTGATTGTCATGGTCTCCTTCGCTGCACATGCAACCAACAAGACTTGAACAGGCTGCGATCCACCGCTGTTGTTTGACAATTAGTTCCGGGAGTACCCCAAACATCATTGGAGATGATCAAATTCCGCTGGAAATTTCCGTTCTTAACCAACCAGTATTTCATGGAATGACGTTGCGGGTTTTGAACCTTGCTCACTTGCCAACAAAAACATCTGATGCGATAAGCAACATATTTGAAGCCTGGGCCACCAGTTGAAACACACTCAGCAGTTGTTTCATCCATTAACCCTGAAGCCTCAACTACTTTGTCAAAAAATATCAGACCCAGCGGACTACAGTTATTGAAAACTCTTTAAGCATCATTCACCAAGCATTTTTGAGTACCATGGGTTTTTCTTAATCCATGCTTACATCACTTACATCCCCTCCTCATTTTTTAATGTTCCATCACAATCCTTAGCTTCGCTGAACATGATTGGGGAAAAAACATGGGTTAATCCACTTGGGGAATATACTGTGGTTGGTGGTTTGGAACATTGGTTTAGTAACGAGGTAATGATGGTTAATCATGGTTAATAATGGTTAATAATCACTGGTTGGTGGTTTCAAACATGGCTTTTATTTTCCATAATATAATATATATATATATGGGATAATCCCAACCCCATTGACGAACTCATATTTTTCAAGCTGGTTATTGCACCACCAACCAGCTGTTGTTATTTTAGTTCCCAAGGATCCAAGTTCGTTGCGGAAAAGCACCGGATCTTGAGATGTCATCCCCAAGGTGGTGCCCCCCAAGTTATGTTTTGTTAGTTATAGTTAATAGGTAGTTTATAATCCCATTAACTATAGATTGATATATATATATATATATCTAATATCTACCATAAGTCCTAGTTGTTAGTAAACCAACAAACATAACTTAGTCCCAAGTCCTAATTCATTCGATATATCTACCATAAGTCCAAACGTGAAATTAGAGTTATGTTCACCAACTTAGCTATCTTGGGGGCACCACCATGTACTTTAAAACAGGCTATAGAATGCGATATAAACTTTTATACCCTCTGGTAAACTAACATAGACCCTGAAAATCACTTTTTTTTAGTGGAAATTGAGGGTCGCAGGGATGTCCCCTTAGCTCAAACACCACCGCTGTATTGGGCGGTCCTCACCCTATGGCGCCAGTTGGAACAAGCGGTGCCGGGGATCTTCGCGGAGTATTGGTGGCATCGCAACATCCATCGCAATGCGCCGCAGCAGCCGGACCGCGGAGCGGCCGAGTTGGAGGGTCCCAACGCTGGTGACTGACTGGGCTGAAGAGTGGGTTACCTTCTTGGTTGTTTTATGGAAAAATCGCCTATATAATATATATATATATTATAGTATATATATATATATATATTAGTTATATATATATATAATCTTTAATATATAAATAAGGGATTTTCCAGCAAACCATGTTTGCTTGCCGGAGTGCAATGTTGTTAATTCCTTTGCAAATGAAGGAATATTGAGTTTCACAAGCTGAGGAATGTGGTTTTTGTTCTTTCGTGTTTTTGCTTTGAAAATGAATGAAAAATCAGCTCAACATACCTTGGCCACCTGACTGATATTGAGTTTTTTTTTTGGTGGCCAGCATATCCATGCTTTGCAACCCCGAAAGATCTATTATTAAAAAAGATAGTGAATCTAAGAGGGCTTCCCTCCGGGAATTAAACATGGCTTGCTGGGTAATCCCCTATAAATGGCAGAGTTTCATATTGCCACGTTCGATTCCCAGAGGGTATTTACTATAAGTCCTGATTGGCCAAGGTTTTTCAACCACAAGCTAGATGAGACCTGGCGCACCACCTGACGATTGTTGTTTCCACAATATGTATATATATATATATAT